CAGGAACTTGGGGGAGAACTTTCTGGAAGGTAGGGTGGGGGCCACGGGCCCAGGCAGGAGACGGTTGTAGCAGAGGTCTTGGGGCCCAACAGGGCAAGGTGCAGAGACCAGCTTTGTTCTTGCTGAGCCCTCAAGCAAGTGTCCAGCCTCTTGGGAGCTGTGACCTTGCCGGGTTGGGTGCCGTGGAAGCCTGGCATGTGGCGGGCCCCAGCTAGAAGGACCTCGAGAGGTCTCGGATGTTTTCCACAGCTCACAAAGGTGTTTAGGAGGGAGCAGCACCATCTGGAGCCTCTTATAGGACAGGGGACCCGGGAGGGGTGATCTGTCCAACATCATACAGCAACTGGCTGCCCGTGGCTCTTCCTGAATCCCCTGCAGTCCTGGCCTGTAGGAGACAAGACAGCTAGAGACAGTGTCAGTGGCGAGCCTCACCTTCTCAGCACCTAGCTGGGGAAAGTGAGGCCCAGAGCTGGAACTCCCATGGGAAGTGACCCATGTAAGAGGGACAGGGGCAAGAAGGCAAATCTCTGGCTTCTTCCTGCCTCGTGCTCCTCTAAACCAAATAGCTGAGGCTCACTGCATGAGGTACCTTGAACTTGAGGCTTTCAAGACATGATCAGATTTGATTTTTACAACCAACTAATCCATGGGTAGGTGCCTTTGTTACGCCTCATTTTCAGATGAGTAAGGTGGGGCACAGAGAGGGCAAGTGACAGACTGAAAGTCGTGCAGCAGATAGGCAGTGGACCCAGGACTTGAAACCCAGGGAGGCTGACTCCAGCACCCATGGCTGTGGCCTCCAGTGAGGCCAGGAGAGCTGACCTCGTCCTCCGTTCTCTGCTCACTCCCTGAATGCCTGGGCAGGGGTAGGGAGAAGGACACCCAGAGCACCGCCTGTGGGGCCCCTTGTGCGGTGTGCTGTGCACGTGGCTGCCTGCTGAACGTAGCACTGTGCTCAGTGAGGCAGGCTCAGCAATCGTGCTAGCATAGGGCACTCAGGCTAAGACCCCTGTGGGAGAAACAGAGGTAGGGAGAGACCTTCAGCTCAACACTCACTCACAACAGTGCGTCACTGCGGGCAACGCAAGTCAAGGGCAAACTCCTCACCTCCCCCATTGCTATGGGAAGAGTGCCAGCTCTGGGTTTCAAGCCCTTCTGCGTGAGTAGGATACGTGGGGGTGTCTGTGAGGATGCAGGGACCACTTGGGGAAATTTGAAAGGAACAGAAGAGCGGACGGCACCAGGGGAGGGAGGCTCTGGTCAGGGAAACCAGCCAGGAGTAGTGTGGGGGAGAAGCCACGGGGACTGCGGCCAGGAGTGGCTTCCTCCAGGCACTGGTCCTGGCCTGGCCTGGTGGGGACCACAGGGGTGACTCCTCCTCGTACAGCGGATGGGTGCCTCCCCTTACTCCTGGCTGCAGGCATTCTCTGGCCTCTGGGGCGCCCGTCCCATCACCTGTCTCCTGAGATCTCTCTGGGGAGCTGGATGTGCCTGGGGGGAGTTAGGGCAGCGTAGGCCTTCTTCGGCCCCTGGCCAATCCTGTCCTCTTTTGCAGCCACCCTCTGCCCTCCTCTTACCTCTCTGTAAAACCAGCTGTGGCCAGAGCACTCAAAGAGAGACCCCGCCCCGCATGGGCACCACAGTGGAGGAGAGGGGATCTGGTCCTTTGGCTTCCGGCCCTGAGCCTGTGGTGGTTGCCAGGGAAACAGAAGCCCATGGGAGGCAGGCCTGACAGCTCGAGGAGGCGGCCCAGCCCCCTCCATACCTCCCTGCTCCCAGGGAGGTGTGGCACCTGGATGTGTGCACGGTGCACATCTGTGTGTACACATGTGAGCCTGCAGACTGGCTGTGGCAGTCCCTGGGTTCCACAGAGCTGGTCACCAACTGATCAGAGGAAGGAGGGACACCCAGGAGCTGGGTGCTTAAAGCTCCCTCAAAGTTTTTGGAAGTGGTGGCTCAAGCCATAATCCCAGCACTTTGGGAAGCTGAGGCGGGAGGATCACGAGGTCAGGAGTTTGAGACCGGTCTGACCAACATGGTGAACCCCTGTCTCTACTAAAAATACAATAGCCAGGCGTGGTGGCATGCGCCTGTAATCCCAGCTACACCGGAGGCTGAAGTAAGAGAATCGCTTGAACCTGGGAGGCAGAGGCTGCAGTGAGACGAGATCGCACCACTGTACTCCAGCCTAGGTGACAGAGCAAGACTCTGTCTCAAAAAAAAAAAAGAGAAATACAAGGCTCTGAGTCATTTTGAAATTACAGGAGTTGCTGAATTGTTCTTTCTTGGACCACAGATTCTCAGAGATACAAACTGGGCCTTCAAGTTTAGAAGAGAAGCAGGCTCACAGCAGGTGGTGAGAAAATGTGTCCTGACCTCGCCCACAGTCATGACAGGCCAGGCCCCAGCCATAGGCCACGCGGTGTTTGGGGGCCACTATGGCAGTGGGCCAAGGCCTTTGCTTGTGGGTGGACAGGGGGTTGAGCTGGGCCTTCCTAGAAAAAAAGGAGGCCACGTGCAGGATCTGACCTTTATCTCCTTGAAGGGGCAGGGCATGTCAGCAGAGGGCGAGCAGTGGAGCTGGGCTGAGCTGGCCTGAGCTGGCCACTGTTGGCCTCTGGAGTCCAGGCCTTGGGTCTCACCCTGCTGGTCCCCAAGGCCTGGGTGGTGCAGGAAGATGTCAGACTTGTCCAGGCCACCCGGATGCTTCGCCTGACTTTGGGAGGACAGAGACACAGCTGGGAAGCAGGCACCCGTCAACCCTCCCTCGGTAGCGTCTTTCCTGTCTCTGCTGGCCCTCATTGACTGTGATCGACTTCCACTTTCCCGTTGGGGAAACTGAGGCATAGAGAAATCATGCAGTGCCCTAGCAACAGGGCTGAAATTCACTGGGGCTGTGGCCCAGCCCAGGAAGCCATTGGCTGCTCCACCATGCACTCCTGGCAGCCCAGCTCTCAGTGAGGTGGGAGATGGGGTGGGCGTGGCTGGAGCAAGGGAAGGGTCACTGCAGCCCTGGCCCCACCCAGACAAGCCTCCACTTCCTGAGCTGGCCGCCAGGACAGGCTGGGCTCCCAAAACCCTTCCTAAAAAGGAATCAGGCTGTGGTGGCCCACACTATTTTTAGATAATTGTGTTGAAAATCTCAAAGCACATGTAGCATCATGCATTTTTTTAGTCAAGAAGAAAAAAGAAAGGGACCTCCCCATCCTTCCCCCACCAGCCACCGCCTGCCCAAAACAGGCCATGCCCCTGGAGGGGCCTTGCACCCATCCATCCCCAGAGGGGCAATAGCCTGAGCCTTGTAGCCGCCCAGCCCTAGGAGTTAGGGCCTTGGGGTTTCTGGCCAGAAGCAGGGCTCACCTCAGTCTCCTCCTAAGCCTGGAGCTCTCAGGGGGTGCAAGGCATACTGGGATCCCCATATTGCAGGTGAGGAGACTGAGGCCAGGCTGTCCTCATCTCCATTTCCAGGTCTTTTTTTTTTTTTTTTTTTTTTTTTTTTTTGAGATTGAGTCTCGCTCTGTTGTCAGGCTGGAGGGCAGTGGCACAATCTTGGCTCACTGCAATCTCTGCTTTCCGGATTCAAGCGATTCTCCTGCCTCAGCCTCCAGAGTAGCTGGGACTACAGGTGTACCCCACCACACTGGCTAATTTTTTGTATTTTTAGTAGAGATGAGGTTTCACTGTCTTAGCCAGGATGGTCTCGATCTCCTGACCTTGTGATCCACCAGCCTAGACCTCCCAAAGTGCTGGGATTACAGGTGTGAGCCACTGCGCCCAGCCTCCAGGCCTTTTTTTTTTTTTTAATACTTGATTTATAAAGATGTGATTGGCATGTAATAAAGTAGAAGCATTTGCAGTAAACAGCTCGGTATGTTTTGACATTTGTATATATCCATGAAGCCATCGCCACAGTTAAGATAGGGAACATATCCATCACCCTCAAAATGTCCTTATCGCCTTTGAAATCCCTCCCCCAGCCCCCTCCGTCCCCAAGGCTCCTTGCCTCAGGCAAACATGGGTCTGCTTTCCGTCACTCTAGATTAGACCAGATTTTCTAGAGTTTTATATAAATGGAATCACCCAGCATGTTGTTTTTTGACTGGCTCCTTCAACTCGTCAGCACTATCTGGAGATTCACCCACGTTGCAGCAGGCACCAAGCCCGTCGTATGGGCAGACCACAGTTGATCTGTTGGTGGACATCTGGATTTTGCTCAGTTTTTGGCTATTACAAACAAAGCCGCTATAAACATTTGCGGAGAAGTCTTTGTATTTATGTTTGTACATGTATTTCCTTTCTCTGGGGTAGAAATTTAAGAGAGGAATTCCTGGATAATTCTATGTTTAACTTTTTAAGAAACTGCCAAACCGTTTTCCAGAGCGGCTGTACCATTTTACATTTCCACCAGCAACGCACGAGGGTTCCAATCTCTCCACGCCCGCACAAACATTTGTTATCGTCTGTCTTTTTGATTATAGACAGCCTAGTGGGTGTGAGGTGGTATCTCTTGGAGTTTTGACTTGCATTTCCCTCATGAGTAATGATGTTGAATATTTTTTCATATGCTTGTTGGCCTAGACTTTACTTTGAAAAAAACAAACTATTAAGTTTGGGATAATTTTAGATTCACTGAAAAGTTGCAAAAGAAAACATGGAGAATTCCCATTTACCCTTCACTCAGTTTCCCCTAATGTAACCCCTTATGTTACCCGACACATTTGTGCCAACAAAGGGACCGACGTTGGTACATTACTAGGAACCAAACTCCAGACTGTATTTAGATGTCAGCAGCTTATAATACGACCGTGCCTGAAATGGTTTGGCTGTGTCCCCACCCAAATCTCATCCTGAATTGTAGTTCCCATAATCCCCAGTGTCATGGGAGGGACTCAGTGGGAGGTAACTGAATCATGGGGGCGGTTACCCTCATGCTGTTCTGTGATAGTGAGTTTTCATGAGATCTGATGGTTTTATAAGGAGCTTTTTCCCCTTTTGCTCAGCACTTCTCCTTTCTGCTGCCATGTGAAGAAGGACATGTTTGCCCCCGCTTCCGCCATGATTGTGTTTCCCGAGGCCTCTTCAGCCATGCTGAACTGTGAGTCAATTAAACCCATTTTCTTTATAAATTACCCAGTCTTGGGTCCATCTTCATTAATTGCGTCAGGACCTACTAATATAGTGCCTTTCCCATCCAGGACCCCACACCACCTAATATTCAGTTACGTCTTCATGGGCTTCTCTGGTTAGTGTCAGTTTCTTGGACTTTTCTTTTTTCATGCTCTTGGTAGTTTTGAGGGGTATTGGTTAGGTATTTTGTAGAATGTTCATCGGTTTGGGTTTGTCTGATGTTTTCTCAGGATTATGCTGGAGTGATGGGTTTGGGGGAAGAAGACCACCAAGGTGACATGCCCTGCTCACCCCATCATTTCTGGGGGTACCTAGTATTCACACGACTCATCACTGGGAATGCTGATCTTCGTTGACTGGTGAAGGTGATGTCTGCCAGGTTTCTCCACGGTACTGTTACTGTTTTTCCTATTTCTACATCCTTGACTCTCTGGGTCAAGTGAATCTTCTGTGCCCAGCACTTTGCACTGATGTTTCACTTAGCTCAACCCCTGTTACTGTCCCTCTGATGGAGGTCCTGATAATCTCTAAACTTAGCAAATTCGCGGTTACAAAGGCTCAGGGATCTCTTAGTCAAAACCTTCTTTACCGTTTTTACAGACAAGGAGACTTAGATCTGGAGAGAGGTGTGATGCACTTAATGATCACACCACAAGCTGAAGGAAAATGGCCAGCGGGTGCGGTGGCTCACACCTGTCATCCCAGCACTTTGGGAGGCTGAGGTGGGTGGATCACTTGAGGTTAGGAGTTCGAGACCAGCCTGGCCAACATGGCGAAACCCTTTCTCTACTAAAAATACAAAAATTAGCTGGGCTTGGTGGCGCATGACTATAATCCCAGCTACTCGGGAGGTTGAGGCAGGAGAATCACTCGAACCCAGAAGGCGGAGGTTGCAGTGAGCCAAGATATCGCAACTGCACTCCAGCCTGGGTGACAGAGTGAGACTCTGTCTCAAAAAAAGAAAATGGCCTTGGGGCACTGAACCACAGCAGAGATCTGGAGGATGTCCTGGCCCAGAGTAAATGCTCCATGGGCATTTATTGGTTGACAAGGTCAGCATATGTTGTATGAATGCTAAGAGTTTCCACATGCAATGAGGTATCTCTCTGTGGACGACATAGCCATGGGGTCGCCTGCTGCCTCCCAGTTACCCATACAAACCATGGAAGCAGGAATGGGTGACAGCCCCACGCTCCCCTGCTGTGAGCCTCCACTGCTCCGTCTGGCTACGCAGCAGCACCAGCTCCTCCTTCTGTCCAGCTGGATAGAGAGCCTGCAGGAAGCTGGAGTCTGGGTTTCAGTGGCTACAGACAACCCTCCAAGTGGTATGTGAGTGGGCACTTTCACCCTCTGCAGGTGACCATGCACAGTGGTACAGCAACTTATTTTATTATTATTCTTTTGAGACAGGATCTTGCTGTGTCTCCCAGGCTGGGATGCAGTGGCACAATCACTGCTCGCTGCAGCCTCCATCTCCCAGGCTCAAGCGATCCTCTCACCTCAGCTTCCCAAGTAGCTGGGACCACAGGCACACACCACCATGCCTGGCTAATTTTCTGTTTTTTGTAGAGATGGGGTTTTGCTGTTTCCCAGGCTGGTCTTGAACTCCTGGGTTCAAGCAATCCTCCCACCTCGGCCTCCAAAAGTGCTGGGATTACAGGTGTGAACCACCACACCCGACCGTAGAGCAATTTATTAATACATGCTAAGGGCATGAAAAATGTTACTTTTTTTTTTTTTGCCCTGGCTTCTGCAGGGAGGCCATGAATGGGTCATAGAATCAGACTGATGTGGGAGGCAGTACAGGTGGTACTGTGGTGAGTTGCTTCAACATCCTGAGTCTCAATTTTTCCATCTATAAAATGGGGATGATTACTATATCTACCTTTTGTACTGCCTGAAATTATATACTTCAGCGAGGACAGTGCAACACATACATGTGTTAATTTCGGTGTACATAGACTATAATATAAATGTGTAAAGAGGCCTAGACTCAAGGGCTGGACAGTTAGCATCTGAAAGACTCTAATCAGAAGCCCACAGTCTAGAGCAGGCTTGTTCAACCCGTGGCCCATGGGCTGCATGCAGACCAGGATGGCTTTGAATGCGGCCAAACACAAATTTTTAAAACTTTCTTAAAACATTATGAGTTTTTTTGTGATTTTTTTTTTCCTTTCTTCACTCATCAGCTATCATTAGTATCATACAGCTATAGTGTATTTTATGTGTGGCCCAAGACCATTCCTTTTCTTCCAATGTGGCCCAGGGAAGCCAAAAGGTTGAACACCCCTGGTTTAGAGGCAGCTGTTACCTGCTCAGCAAAATGAACACATCTCCCCTCAGGCCCAGAGGGTTTGAGGGTGTGATAGTCCGTACACTGGATATGAGACATGCTTTTTGTGTATGTGAAATTAGCGGTGTTACGGATGTGTGAGGTGGCTAGCAATCGTGTGCAGGTGCCTCTAACATGCCCCGTGGCTCCACTTTTCAAGCAGTGCCTCAGGATCAAGGACTCAATCCAGTCCTGTGCCGAGATGCCCTTGAGGATTGTGTTGTGTGGTCTGACAAGAAAAGAGGTTGACTCCTGAATTCTGCCATCTGAATTCTATTGTATCAGCCTCTGGTGGACCCTACACATGAATCCTTGTCGATGCCTGAGATGGCAGAGCTGGGCCCTGGCCAGGCCAGACCACGGACCTGCTTTGTTACCTGCGATGGCCTGACCTGACTGTGCTTTGTTACCTGTTTCCGATGGCGTGCCTGACTGTGCCTTGTTACGTTTCTGATGGCATGACCTGACCACTTTGTCACCTGTTTCCGATGGCGTGATCTGACCACTTTGTCACCTGTTTCGATGGCGTGACCTGACCGCTTTGTCACCTGTTTCCGATGGCGTGACCTGACCGCTTTGTCACCTGTTTCCGATGGCGTGACCTGACTGTGCTTTGTCACCTGTTTCCCATGGCATGACCTGACCGCTTTGTTACCTGTTTCTGATGGTGTGACCTGACTGTGCTGTGCATTAATGGGGCACCATCTGGCAAGGTGAGCTTTTAGGGAGAGGCCATAGCCCTCACTACTGCTAATGATTGGCTAACACACAGAAGCCCCAGACAGAGCCCAGCTGCTGGAGCCAACCAGCATGGCTTTGGCCAGTTAACACACCACTTCTTGGAGTCATGAGGATTAACTGAATGATTATGCTGGAGTCACAGGTTTGGGGGAAGGAGACCACAGAGGTGAGGTGCCCTGCTGACCCCATCATATGATGGAAAATGCACAAACTAAGCCCTCAATAAATATAGCCTGATGAACTACCATTCTGCAAGTCCTAATTCTATCCTAAGACAGATAATCAGAGATTGCTAGGAGAGAAGAATGAGCGTGTGAGTGGCTAAGAGTATGGATTCTGGAGTCAGGTGACCTGGGTTCGAGGCCTGCTGTAGCATCATCCAAACTTGGGCAAGATTTTTCGTCTTCTGGAGAGGGCTCCATTTCTCACCTGGGCCTGTATCAGTAATAACCGTATCCATCTCATAAGATTGTCATGAGGATTAGATGAGTTAATACATGTAGAATGATTGGTGCATAATAAATGCTCAATAAATGTATGCTGGCCTTAACCATTCCATTGTATGCGGTATGACAATGTGAAGCAACTGAAATCATTGATAATAAAGAATAGGTTAGGCCAGGCATGGTGGCTCACACCTGTAATCCCAGCACTTTGGGAGGTTGAGGCGAGTGGATCCCTAGGTCAGGAGTTCGAGACCAGCCTGGCCAACATGGTGAAACCCTGTCTCTACTAAAAACACAAAAATTAGTCAGGCATGGTGGTGCACGCCTGTAGTCCCAGCTACTCAAGAGGCTGAGGCAGAAGAATCGCTTGAACCTGGGAAGTAGAGGTTGCAGTGAGCCGAGATCCTGCCACTGCACGCCAGCCTGGGCAACAAGACAGAGACTCCATCTCAGAGAAAAAACAAACAAAAAAAACTTATTCATGTAACCAAACATTGTGTTTTTCAATAAAATACGGAAATAAAAAATTCTATAGAATTTGAAAAACAAAATGTAAATCTGCATACATCTCTGCTAATAGATACATAATATAAAATGATATAATGTTAATATTAAGAGCCGAAATGTGAAGAGTTTGTATTCAATTGAACTTGTTATGAGATTAAAATATATTGTTATAACTTAAAAAAAAAAGAAAGGAATGTGCTGTTTTAAGCCACTATGTTTGTGGCAATTTGTTATAGCAGCAACAGGCAACTGATACCGTGGGAGTTATGATCACACCAGAAACACCAGGGTTTTATGATCACAACAGAAAAGAAAACGCTGCTTGCTTTGAAAAAAAAAAAAAGCCAGCCGCTTTGGCTCATGCCTGTAATCCCAGCACGAAACCCTATCTTTACAAAAATACAAAAAATAATAATAATAATAAATTAGTCATTGGTGGCGAATGCCCGTAATTTCAGCTACTCGGAAGACTGAGGCAGGAGAATTGTGGGAACCTGGGAGGCAGAGGTTGCGGTGAGTCGAGATTGTGCCATTGCACTCCAGCCTGGGCAACCAGAGCGAAACTCCATCTCAAAATAAAAAAAGAGCCGTGGGCGAACTGGCTTCATTTCTGCACAGGAGCTCTGTCCATCTGCCAGTGCAGACAGGCGCAGCCCAGATCCAAAGGACAAGCTGGCTCAAGATTTTGAAAGCAATAAAATGAAATTTGAAGTTGAAATTTTGGAAGTGCAATTATAAAGTTGAAAGCCAGAGAATCCGAAAACACTTGACTGAAAAGTCTAATTGTGTCTGAGCTCCGCTTTTTTCTTATTTTAATTTTGTTGTTTCTAAAACTGCTGCGTAGGCCAGGTGCAGTGACACACACCTGTTATCCCAGACTTTTGAGAAGCTGAGGGGACCAGATCACTTGAACCCAGGAGTTGGAGACCAGCCTGGGTAACATGGCGAAACTCCGTCTCTACAAAAAATTAGTGGGGCTTGGTGTCTGTCGTTCCAGCTACTCAGGAGGCTGAGGTGGGAGGATCACTTGAGCCTGAGAGGTGGAGGCTGCAGTGAGCTGAGGTCGTACCACTGCACTCCAGCCTGAGTGACAGAGCAAGGCCCTGTCTCAAATAAAACAAAAACAAATAAACAAAAAAAACCCAGTACATGAAAATATTTGTGAAAATTAACATTGTTATCTTTGGGCAACATATTAAAGAAAGAAACTCTGGAAAGAATTTGAAATTGGTCCCCTATTTGCAGCTTACAGGATGCTCTTCTGTCTTTACATGGTCTGGTCCTTGCTGGCAACGTGAGGATGGACCAGCCTTTTTGCAAACTGGCTGGGCCTAGTCATCTGGTAGAAAGTGGCAGAACCTCAAGCTTTTGGGCTTTTGCTCGCGATCCCTCTTAAAGCTGTCACTGCCTCACAGAGCTGTTCCCAACCATCCAACCTAAAGTAATCCTCTGCTTGTCACTTAAAATTTGCTCTCATCATCTCTGCCAAGGGGTAATTATCTTACTTGTTTGGCCTCTGTTTGGAGTCTGTCTGCCCAGTCCCCAGTAAGACCACCAGCTCCCCAGCCCAGGTACCTGTGTCTGGCCAGGGGTCCTTGATACACCGGGGCTGAACACAGGCAGGAAGATCTCATTGCCACATGGGTGGAGGTTTCAGGCTGTGCCGGGTGCCCAGGAAGCCCCCATGGGCTTGGGGAAGTCACATTCCTGGATACTGCTGAATGGCAGGCTAAGCTCAGGCTGGAAACCCTGACCTGCTGCCCTGCCCGGGAGAGAAGCCATGGTGGGTAGGGCTGGGCTCTGGTCAGCCATGCACTTGTGTCTTACACACCCTCTGAATCTTTATGACTGCCTTGTTCTCCCCATCGCACAGATGAGAAAACTGAGGCTTAGAGAGAACTAGTGACTTGCCTAAGGCTTCCAGGAGAGTGGGTGGCCATGCCTCGATTCAGGCTCCAGCCCAGCGGACCCATAGCCTGAGTGCCTGGGACACAGGTGCCACCTCAGGCAGCGGTGGATGGGAGCCTCCCATGTGTGACAGAGTGGTACAGGGCTACAGGACCCTCCTTAGGCCTTGGCTGAACCCAGAGCCCAAGGATGACCCTGTGGGGTCAAGGAGGCAAAGGCAAGAGTGGTGGCAGTCACAGAGGCCCCCAGCCGTGCCCATGCTGACCAGGCCCCCCACCTCCTCCTCCATGCAGATCGGGACCAGACTTATCTAAGCTGCAGATAGCTCTGCCCTTCCTACCCCGCTTCAGGGACCCTCAGCACGTCCCAGCAGCCACTCACCCCTCAAGTAAGGATGGAATAAAGACGGGAGGCGTTGACTGTGTGTCCCCTGGGGGCCAGGCTCTGTGCCCAGTCCAGGTTGACCTCTGT